ATGACACTATAATATACCCGACTCACTTCTATGTAATTCTGGTCGATGAACACTTTTAAAAATAAGTGATCAAGCTATTGGTCCTTCTACCTATATGCATGAGCTGATTTGAATTGATCTTTGAAATGAGGTAGTCCTAAACTTAGTGCTTTCAATCTTTAGTTACTTCTCTTCTCATGGGAGATGTTGATTTGGTCGTAGTACTTACCTTTCTGTAGTTTGGATGCATGGGTGAATCAAGTTTGGGCGGACGAGTACAGAGCCGCAGACATATTTCCTGCTCCAAACTCAACTGTTCAGTCCAGATAGGATCGCTGGGATACGGCAGCCTCTTTTCCCTTCCACAATCCATCTTCTTTTTCCTATCCTATCTCTTATTTTCCTGTCCCGCCCCACGTTTCCCAATATCCAAACGGCATCTCGGTGAAATAGAATATGTATAAACTACCTAATTACCAATTTACCATGGTCCAGTGAATTTTAATTTTAATTTTGAGTACTGCACAACAACTACATTATATGATCATGGAACAAATCCTGTCAATCAACTACTCCTACATTATATGATCATGGAAGAAATACCAACAGCTCGCCGCCTCCGTCTCTTCCTCTCCCGCTCGTTTCTCAGATCCACGCAGCCGTCGCCCCGCAACACCACCGCCTCGGCGCCTGCTCCCTTCGCGGCGGCCCGGCCTTGTCTCGCACCACTCCATCCCTGCGCCGGCTTCACTCCAGCGCAGCGCCGCCGTCGGCCCACCTCCGACCCTACGCCGTCGGCTCCGTTCCTCCTCCCCTCCGCCGGGTTTGTCCGCAATGGTGCGCCCCGGGGGCAAACCAGACAACAGCAGCTAACTGGGCCAAACCAGACAACAGCCGCTAGCTGGGCCAAACGGCCTGGGCTGCTGCACTTTGAGGGCAGCTAGAGCGTCCACGTCAGCCCATTGCGCTCCGCCTGGGCTGGACCCCTGGAGGCTCGGACTGGCCTACCGCCGTTCGCTGCATCCGTCCACTCCACCACGCGCTGTCCCTCTCTCTCTCTGCGATACCGCCGCCGCCGCCGCCGCCGCCGCTGCAGCCCTACGCCGTTGCCGAGCCCTTTCTGTCTCTTCGCCAGCGACGATCACTCACTAGGTATTCCCACCCCTTCTACTCCCTTCCTGCTGTGCCAGTCCGCCCTTGCTCACTTCGAACTTTTTGCAAAAATCATCGGGTGGTCCGCTCTGGCTGCAGCAGCCGGCAGCAGCAGGAGGACATCATGAAGCTTGACGTGAACGCCCTTCGCTACCTCTCCAAGGACGACTTCCGCGTCCTCACCGCCGTCGAGATGGGTATGCGCAACGTAAGATCCCCAATACCCTGCACCGACCTCGCATCCCGTTACATGTTAAATCAATCGCCGGTTTCCGCGACTTAAGTTAGTTTTTTTGCTTTGGACTTGTCACAGCACGAGATTGTTCCAGCAGAACTTGTCGACAGGATCGCCGGACTGAAGTAAGTAAGATTTTGTTTTGTTCGCGGTCCTGCAATCTGTGGCTATGCTGAGGATATATGCTCGTGGTTGCTAGTTTTAGATGTTATAACTGATAGTATGTTTGCTGTGATATCAAAATCATTGTTTTGGGATGTATTGCAATTTTAGCATGTCGATGATCGGAGGTAGTACTGCTGGTGTTTGGACCTTGCACCAGTAATATGCAATTTCTTTAGTTCTGGTTTGCTATTCTACCTTGTGGTGCATAAAGTAGCATGAAATCTCCATCTTTTTGCTTATCCTTTCAGCAGGAAAAAACAAAGATATGTTTTGTATAAACATCAATATGCGGAAAACAATTAGTCTGAAAACACGGAGGCTTGGTGCAGCTAATTTTACTCTTAATGATGTTTATTTTTGGTCTAACCATTTAAAACAAATATCAAATGAAGTTATTGTTTGCTGAGTGGAAAGAATTTGTACTCTATCTCAGTGGAATATGTTCTTATGCTTTATGAATTTAGGCATGGAGGTACATACAAAGTGCTGAGGAATCTTTTGAAGAACAAGCTAGTGCATCATGATGCCACTAAATGTGAGTCGTTGACAGTTAATCATGCTTATAGATTGGGTTGCTAGCGCAGTAGCACTTAGCGCCAAGTCTTTATTGCTTTATCGGTTTTGTTCCATACAGATGACGGATATCGGCTCACCTATCTAGGATATGACTTCCTTGCCATCAAGACTTTAGTTAATCGAGGAGTTTTTGCTTCCGTTGGCCGTCAGATCGGTGTTGGAAAGGAGTCTGGTATGTTGTGTTCATAGTGTGTGTTCTTTTCTTTTATAAGTAATGTGGCAAAGGCACATGAAGTTGTTTCTAATATCTCTGTGATATGCAGATATATTTGAGGTTGCCACAGAGGATGGCACAGTACTCGCCATGAAGCTTCATAGGTTGGGCAGGACATCTTTTAGGGCTGTTAAATCTAAACGTGACTATCTAAGGCACCGAAGGAGCTTTAACTGGCTATACCTCTCACGACTTGCAGCCTTGAAGGAATTTGCCTTTATGAAGGTCCTTTTTTTTCTCATTCTATTTATTTTAAGTATATCTGAGCTATGTGCTCTTTTCATTTTCCTTTTTGTTTGGTTGATCCTTGACTGCTTATATCTCCAGGCTTTAGGGGACCATGGTTTCCCTGTTCCAACTGCTGTGGATTGCAATCGGCACTGTGTGATCATGTCACTTGTGCAGGGATATCCTCTGTAAGCATATATCTGTCAACTGTGGATTCATATTAGTTGAATAGTATATTCTGTCAAGCAGATCCTGATACAAGTTGCTTTATGCTCTGTAGTGTTCAAGTGAAAGAGATACAAAATCCAGATGATGTTTTTGACACAATTCTTGGTCTTATAGTTCGTTTGGCAGAGCATGGACTGATACATTGTGACTTTAATGAGTTCAATATCATGGTATCTCTTCCTTTTTCCTTTCCTTGTTTGTGTTGATTTATGAGTTTTAAATCCTTTGTAGAAGTAAAACTTATCTGGATAAGATATTATGGAACAAGACTTTTTTGTGGCAAACGCATGAACTGGATCTGTTTGTTTGAATAATTTCTAGTTGCAGCTTGCCAGCACTTAGTTTTGTGATATAGTAATATAATGATACTACATATGATAATATTTTTTATATGTTGGTGTCAAATTCATTGATACCAATGTCATGCAGATTGATGATGATGAAAACATTACAGTTATTGACTTTCCACAGATGGTGTCTGTTTCTCATCGTAATGCCCAAATGTATGTAGCTTACTCAGATAACTAATGTGGCAGTGTCTTGTTTTTTTTTTTTAAAAAAAATGAATTTTGCCTTTACAGGTTTTTTGACCGTGACATTGAGTGTATCTACAAGTTCTTTAACAAAAGGTTTATAGTATATGCAAGAAAGCTTCAAATAATCCTAATTCGGTAGAATCTTTTTCTTATTGGGATTTCTTTTCTTCCTGTTAGGTTCAATCTGACGTCAGAGAAAAACGAAGAACAACCTGGATCTGAAAGTGATGATGAAGGGAATAGCAGGCCTTCCTTTTTGTCGGTGAAAAAGGTTGCTGGTTCCTTGGACAAGGAACTAGCTGCCAGTGGATTTACCAGGAAAGAGCAAGTGGAGATGGAGAAGGTAGGCCAGATGTTTCTTCAAATTTGTTATTCAAGCATACATTCGTAGATTGTTTTCCAGCTTAGTTCTCTGATACTGTTTTTTTTTTGGCAAACTTTCATACAGTACATTGAAGAAGATGCTGAAGGACATGATTCCAGCTCAGATGATGATGATGACGGTGATGATGACAAGGTCGGTGATGCTGTGCCTTTGGTTTCCTTGAAGATAGACCAGCAGGTACTCTGCCTAGCAAGTTAATTTGGATATGTGCAGACTGTACCGGTAGTCAGGCTAGTCTCTAGTTAGAAGTTACTGTTATTGAAGTGTATTTTGGCTCTGTCTCTCAGGACGGTTCTAATGAGCCTGATTGTAATCTTGCCTCAAGGGATTCAGATGTGCCTGGAACTTTTTCTGAAGAGGTTAGTCATCTATCCATCAGCATCAGACTGAATAAGCAAACTTTTGATGCCATTTTTCTTACAATTTTTTTTCCACTGTTCAGCATGGAACAAGTTGTAGCGGTGAGAACAGATTGGAAAGTCCTCCCTCAGGTGGCAATGGAGAGGCTATGAAACCGCTTCAATCTGGGTCCCAGGAAGATGGCCATAATGATGATGACTCGTCAGAGGATGCTGATGAAGAAGAAGACGCTGAGCTCACGAAACAATTGAACAAGCAAAGGAAAAAGGCAATAGCAGCTGCCCATGGGCGGAGAAGGCCAGTGTCATCCAGGAACGCCTACAAGGACAAGGGTAAGGGCACCATGAATTCCAAGATCCAGAGGCAGGCGTGCAAGTGGTGATGATGGTTGAATGTCTGCAGTGCCTCTTGCGGCAGTGCTAAAATAGATGAAGTGTAGGATTTTGTATGGCTGTAGAACCGAGGGACCGCTGTACTGGAATCAACTCCGTTTTTTTTTAATATTGTTATGTTGTATATACCTTTTGTACACGGTTCTGATGAGATCATCGAGGTGCTTCTGTTACCAACTGAATATCTGAGAATACATGTAGATCATCGTGGTGCTTCTGTTGACCAACTGAATATCTGAGAATACATGTTTGGCAGCTGCCAATTTCCTTGCTTCAGCATCGTCTGTTGCTTTTTCATGTTTTTTTCCCTTCTTCCTGGCCTCGGTTAAACAAAGCAAGTAGCAATTGTCCTTTTATAAACAAGTTAAGGCTCATGTTAATTACTCGTAAACATTTGGCTCCCTTTTTGGTACAATCTTGTGGAACTACAGCGCTGTCTGAAGCAGCAGACGGCATCAGACAATTGCTACTTGCAGGTATTTCATGAGCATTAACTTGTTTATCTGAGGCCCTAAACCTGTCGTCTCCATCGGACTCTCGCCGCCACGCCATGGCGGCGGAACCGCCAGAGCCCGCATCCTCGCTGGATGCTCAGCTCGCGGTCTCTTCCTCTTCCGCCGCAGCCGGCGTAGGCGGCCCCAACCCGTGCTGCGCGAAGGTAGTTGACCCTCCCTCTTCTCACCACTACGCCGCATCCTGTCTTGTTCGGTTCTTGTCTTCTTCATTGACGTCTCTTCATTTTTTTTGGTGTTCTCTTTTGGGGTTTGCCCGTTTGGGTGGGTTCCGCAGCTGTGGAAGAAGTACCAGAAATTGGAGACGAGCCGGACGGCGCTGCGGGAGGCGGTGAAGCTCCTGCAGGCTGAGAACGAGAAGCTGCACAAGGAGAACTCGGAGCTCAGCAAAGGTTCCTAATGTGTTCCCTGATTTCTTTCCCAGTGTGCTGCTTTCTTTGTTTTCTTTTTGAGTTTTTTTACCTGTGTGCCATTATAAAAGTTCAAAATGACCTGTGTACCATTGAAAAAACAAAAAGTTCTCCAGTACCTTTGCTAGAAATTTTCGTTCCCTACGTACCACTTCCGTCCATTTTACCTGTAACAGCAGGTAACGGCCAGCGGAAATGACAGTTTTACACCCAGTTGTGGTATGCAACAAAATTTTTCCACTTTCCTCTGATGCCACTGGCGTGTTTTTTTGGTTTTAAAAAACTTAGCTTTTCCTCGGTAGCACTATGACAACTTGTGTGTGCACATAAAAATTCAAATAAATATTAATCCGACAATTGCGACAACCAATATGAGAATCAATAAATATAAATTTAACAATTGCAACAATTCCAATAAATAAAAATTCGACGTACGTCAGAATACAATAAGATAAATTTGAAATGCATCCAAAATACTCGATAATTGCGACAACCACAATAAACATTTAAACTAAGTACATTCAGGCATAATAGAGGTCCAAATTTATCATGACATGCATAGTCAGCTTGATTACTGAATCAAGTTTGCACACAAAATATGGTCACATTGACCTCATTGCTAGTTTAAACATTGTCTGGTCACTACAAAAGCATGCCACAGAGATGCAAACTCATTACAGAGATCAAGTTTTTTCTTGCTTCTAGTTCCTATGGCGGACTAGAAGGGGAACTAGGGACCTTGTCAAGGGTTGACATGGCTGGACTACCCTTATTTGGAGTCAATTTTTTTGCAATGGCCCTCTTCTTCTTGTGCTGGACTACTTTTGTGTGCTGCTCACTTGATCCTGAAGGGCCTAGCTGATTTGATCCTGTTCCAGATCCTCTGAAAAAAAAATAACATGAGTACAAAACAGTTGGCTTACCAATTAAAGTGGTGAAAAGACAATTATACCTCACTTGAGGGGTCACTAGCCTCAAAGCAGCTTGAAGTATTGGAAGTACTCTTTTGTTTCTTTGCACGAGTTGATGAGGATGATTTGTTCTTCCTTTTCTTTGATAGATCCACAACAAGAGGGTAGAACTGGAAAGACCATCCTTTGTGGTGTCTGCAGGTACAATCTTCGGGTCTCGATGGTAGCTAGTTCTATCTTCTTTTTCTTCTTTTTAGGTGGACCTCTGCATTGATGATAGGTTAGCAACAATGTAAACATCTAGATAGGTTAGCAACAATGTAAACATTGGCATGATCGCATCAACATTCATATTTGCTCTTCACAGAGACAAATATTGATGTCTTTACCTAATCTTTTGTTTCACTCTATTCAACCACTATTGTCCAAATCATGATCAAGCAGCACTTTTTTAGTGCCAATAATAAAATACAAGATCTTGGTATAGTGCTATTTCTTGATGCCAACACCAAGGGTACAAGAACCTCAATTTATACTCATGTTTCGTTTTTTTAAAGTTCACAATTAAAAATTTCTCAATATAGGAAACAAGCATCCACATGTATAAGTTGTTGTAAGATAAAGAGAAACATTGGACCACTAGGATACCCAAAAAAAACAAACTCCAAATGACATCCACATGTGGTTGTTTGGACAATACGACATATTTTACATGCATGTGGTCATGTTTTAGTCACATAGTCCCCATCACCTAACTAATGTTTGGTAGCGATGTAAGAGCGTATAAAAGTCTTCTTTCTCCTAGTGCAAAGGATAAATTGGCACTATAAAAGGAAATAATTGCGTAATAAATTGGCACTTCTATGTTACCTTTCAAAGAAGCATTGTCATTATATCTCTTTGGGTCACCATCTTTACATGTGTACCAATGATGTCCATATTGTTTATGATTGGACACTGATGCCTACCCTTGGGTCCTTTGCTGCCACCCTCTGCTGCTCCCTTGTATCTATTTTGTCTTCTCCTACCAGCCGTTGACTTCAACAATGGACGATGCAGGAAGAAACTATGTTCTTTTTTGGGCCACATGGATTTGTCTGGTATAGAAGGGATTGTACCAACATATGCAGCCCTGAAGCTCTGTACAGAGTAGTAGTTGTCCACATGATCTTCTATCTTCTCTCCAGGTATAGAGGTGATGTAGGCAATTGCATGCTTACTGGGTACATCCATTTGTGCCCATCAACTGCACAAGCAATGCATAATTGACCTCTGAATTTTCCAGTCAAGAATGTACTATCAACAGCCAGATAAAGCCTACAACCTCTAAGGAAACCTTCAACACAAGGTTTCATTGCAAAAAAAAGCCTATTGAATCTGATCTTATCCTCTATTGTATGATGATCAATGACAACAAAGCTGCCAGGACAAGATTGTTCTATCTGTGCCTTAAACCTGTACAAGTTGTCAAAACTTTCATGCCAGTTTCCATACAACTCTTCCATAGCAAGTGCCTTTCCATCATACACTTTCTTGTAGCTGATACTGACCTTCCAATCATCCTTCAATCTTCTCCTAAGTTCTTTGGGCCGAACAGTTGGGTCCTCAGCTAACCAATCATTTATCTTCTCCCGAATCCAAAACTTGGTAGCATGCTTGACTTTCCCAACCCTCCTACTACTTTGACATTTATGATCATAAGGGTACGGGTTCACCTTGACCTACAAAGTTTAGTTTCAATTAGACTAGAATAATTTCAGAAGTATGAACGAAGTACTGAAATAAATTCAGAAATATGAACAAACTACAAAAATAAATGAAAAAGAAATTACCTGTACAGTAACTTTATCCCTCATTGTCGATGCATGAAGCCTCCACTTACAACCATCTTCCACTCCCGCGCAGTATGCCCGATACCTCCCTGGTTCACTCTTTTCAATGTTATACTCAAATTCTTTCTTGATAGCATGTGTTGCAAGAGCCAACTTAAATTCAGACATGTTTGGATAGATGCTCCCTACTTCCATAGGAGGGTCATCTTTGTTATATGCAACTTGAGGGATGTCAGATGGCAATCTATCATCTACCTCATCATCCAAATCAGAGTCAGACATAGAATCAGATTCCGAGTTTGAACCTGAATCATAATCTTCATCATTTTCCTCATTTATGTCAACATTTGCATGAGAAGCAGGTGCTATATCAAGGTATAAACCCTCCTCATCAACCCCCACATGTTCATTCTCTGGTTCAGGATTCATAAGATAATTATCCTCAAAGATCTACCATGTCATCATCCTGTTCTCAGAAAGTATCCCAGCTTTGGGTTGTTTTGCTAGGTTCTACATAGCTAGGGGCTGATGGGGTGCATGGGATGTCAACATTGTCCCATAGTGGGATTTCTGGTGGATCAACATCAGGTTTATGATATGCAATTGACATGCAACAACACTTGGAGCTCATATGTTTCGCGAACATATGCATTAATTCTTGGTCTGAATGAATTTGTATGTTGGACTTGCTATCAGCACAGAAATAGAACAACTTCACTACATCACCATATCCGCAAGGAAACTGATCTAGAATTTCATCAACAAGGTCTTTAAAATTTGTGATGTCTGAATCAACAACTTTATTAATGCCATACCATGGTCCTCGCATATTTGGACTAATTATCCTGATTTCTAGATTGAAACTGGTCTTGATGTCATTCCTACAAATGAACGACATATATTTTACTCCCATATGCAGTGGCGGAGGACGAAAAAAATTTAAGGTATGGCGAGGTTGATAACATAGATAACAAAAATTTCTTGTTAAGATGGTTTATACACATATAAAATGGTATTATTGGCATCTAATATGTATGTAAAAACATTTAGGATAAATAGAAACAAACAAGTAATAAAGTTATTAGACAAACCAAGTGACAAACTGACAATACACTTCTTCTTTTTTTGAGGGGAGACAATACACTTCAATTGTGTCTATGCGATATCATGCTACGGCAGTGCGGCCTGCAGCGAGGAGTTAGATAATGGTTCGTGTCTCCTACTGTCCTTGCTGCATTGCGTGGACGACTGGACGTGGTCACGTGGGTGGCAAGCTAGCCACGGGCCAAACCAAAAGGGCCCTCAATCCCCCATACCGCCGAACACAGTAGTAGCCCAGAAACAAGGTCCAGGGATGATTCGCTGCTTTTCTCCTACCTCTGGCCGGCAACCCAGACTTCCTAACAGCCAAACTTTATGTTTCTTAATCTGTTCATGGTATAGAGTGATTCAAGGAAGATAATTGCTGAGAATTCAAGGTATGGCGACTGCCATACCTTGCCATAAGAGAGCTCCGCCCCTGCCCATATGCAGTTCATTCCAGTCCTAACAAGATCAAAAGATGCTACTAATATCATGCATTTGGAGAAGAAAAGGAACGCCACCCATCGGGAAGCCATGCTTGGTCGCCGGCCTGCGCCATCCTTCCCAAATCCGCACTAAGTCAAGACCACATCGATCTCCTACCGCCAAGCACGTGACTGGGCCTTCCCTCATGAAGCTTCCTCGGGTTCTCAGACGCGAGCAGCGCCCTCAAGACGCGAAAGCGGCCTCCCAGCGCCTCAGATGAGAGCACCTTCCCTCGGGCTCCCAGCCGAGAAGGCCCCGCAACACGCCTCCCCACGCGAGAGAGCTCGCGCCTCCTCCCCGCGAAGCCTGGACGCCTGCATAACGAGGCCGCGCCTCCTCCTCGCGATCACAAGACGCCGAGAAGAGGCTGCGCCTCCGCACGTGGCTTGAGCGCTGCCCGCCCCGACGAGCTGCGCCTCTTCCCTGGCCCCCTCGCGAGCGCGCGCCTCCCTCCGGGGTGCACGGCCGACGACGCCTCCTCCGGGTGCACGGCCGGCGGCGCCTCCCTCTGGGGTCTAGGGTTTGCCTTCGAGCGCTCTTTGCCTTCGAGTGGGGAACGAACGAGTGAACAAGGAGGAGACGAGAAGTTCACGAGCGAATTGGACGAAACACTGATGGGCAAAAAGGTAATTTTTACTCTGGTTCATAGCCGCCTCTGTTAGAATTGAACGGCAAGCTGACGGAAGTGGTATACAGAGCAAAAGAAATTTCAAAGAGGGTAATGGAGAACTTTTTCGAATTCCAATGGTACACAGGTTATTTCAATATTTTATAATGGCACACAGGTAAAAAACTCTTTCTTTTTCTGCATTGCGATTCTAGTTACAAATAGAAAGAAAAGATCACCCTAAGTATGCAGAGGTAATGTACATGTACAGTCTGTACACATTGTATCTAGTAATTCTTGACCTACATTTTGTGAATTTGTGTAGTTATACTGTTGATTTTTGTGATTTATGCTGAAAGGCAGGTATTTTGGCTCTTCCTTTTTCATACCAGGCTGCACTCAAAGAAAGTGAACTTTTTCCTTATAAAAAAACTCGACCTGAAGGGGTTAAGACTGCCCCACAGCATTCCAAATAAGAAGAAGACATTTTCATCAGGCCAAGAAAACCCCCCGAACCCCCGACCCACCCTTACACGGTGGCTTTCTGTCACCCCCGACCCACCCTTACACGGGGGCTTTCCGTCGCCCAAGTGAGAATTGGGACGATGCCCCCAGTGCTTTGGATATGGGACGGACGATGGGATTTTTTTAATCTCAGCCTGAAATTCGCTCCCACAGGGAGTCGAACCCAGGACTTGAGGAGTGCCGCTAGGGTACTCTGACCAATTGGACTAGAGGCCCTTTGGCAACTTTTTTCCTTATAAAAAACTACTTCTATAAAGTATCTAATACTCTAAGTTCTAATTTCATAGCATGCTAGTAGGAATTTTAGCAGAAGGTGCCTATCACAGAGAAGATGCCTTTCAAAGTATGTCTGATTTCTCATTAATGCTTCATGTATTCGTTAACATCATGTTTGATTTCTCCTCAATGCATCATTTATTTGTTAGCATCTATTAGCCCCCCGATTTTATCCTTACCGTAGTACACTCTCAAACATTGATTACGTGATTTGATGTCACCCACCCGAAGCATATGTAATTCTTGATGAACAGTTATGTGCATCATGCATGCATCTTGAAACCATTCTTATGTGTACCATTCTTTAATGTTGTATTCTCTCTGTTTTTCTCTGTGATGGGTAGTGTTCAAGGAGGAACGCCTCCGAGGGGATTCAGCAGAAGCAGCTAGGGCAACTGAGTCTGATGCCAGAGATCTACTGGAGAAGGAGATAATTGAATTAAAGACGCAAAACTCGAGTTTGAAGCAAACACAAAATACCTGCAAAAATAATGATGAACTTTTATGCATCTCTGAATTGGAGGAAGAAAATAGAAAGCTCATACAGGTGTTAGGAGAAGAAAGTAAGAAGATTACTTCTGAGAAGAAAATTTTTGAAGAAGAAAAGTGCAAAACTCTAGAAATGCATAGGATATTGAAGTCAGAAACACAGAAGTCTGAAGAGTATAGAAGAGTTGCTGATACGGAAAGAAAAGCTACCAATGATTGGAGAGCATCATGTGAAAGGTCGAGGAGTGAAGCAAATGAAATCAGAGCACAGTTGACTGCTCAGGTTAAGAAAACAGAAGAAATGCTTAAAAGGGCCGAAGCGGAGAAGCAGAAGGTAGCCAGAGAAAAGAAACGTGCTGATTCAGAGAAATCATTATCTGAAAAGAACAAAGCACTTATTGAAGTTGAGAAGAAAAAAGTAACGGAAGAGAAGTGCCGTGCTGACAATTTATTTGCAAAGTTAGAGGAGCAGAAGAAACTCAGTGAACATTTGCGAACTAGCATACAGGTTGAAACAAAGAATGCAATAAAAGGGCGTGGCTAGTGCAGAGAGCTCCCGCTCTGTGCGGGGTCTGGAGAAGGATGTCAGTGGCAAGCCTTATGTAACACCCTAAAGTTTGCACTCTTTTAAAATAGCTAAATTAATTTATTTACGCAATTATGTGTGCATACAAATGTAGGAAAATAATAATTTTATAAAACTAAAATCAAATATAAGATTAGCTACAAGTGATGCATACATGCTGCTGCATATTATTTTGTGAATGTTTGGAATTGCTTAAAGATTTCAAAGAGAATTGACATTTGAATTTAAAAATGGATTTGGAAAATTGTTAAAAAAGAAGAAGAAAAGAATCATTTTCTCTCCCTCCCTTCTTGATTTTCGGCCCGCAGGCCTTTCCTTCTGCTGGCCCAGCTCCCTCCCGCTGGCCCAACCGGCCGCTGGCCCATCTCCTCCCCGCAGCCCAGCTCGGCCTCCCCCTTGCGCGCTGCGCAGCCTAGCACATGCGCCGGCCCAGCCTCACTCCGGCCCAGCTTTCCGCGGCCGTCCAGCAACCGTCGCCGCGCCTCCTTCCCTAGCCGCTGACGCCTGGGCCCCGCATGTCGGCGCCGTCCCGTTCCTCCCGCGCGACTCGAAAACCGCCCGCGCGTGCGCCATGGCAACCGACGCCCATGCCTCCGATCGTGGGAGCGCCCCCCAGCTCCTCGGCCTCGATATAAAGGAGCCGAGCCACCCCGCGCGCCCCCCTGCTGTCCCCGCTCACTCTCGCGTCGCCCGTGCCCGAGGAGACAGCCACGCCGTGGACGCTGTGAACCGCCGTCCGCCATCCGCGTCGACCACTTTCCCCGAGCCGTCTCCGACCAGTTTCTTCCCCGCTGTGAGAATCCCTGTGCTCCCCTCTACCTCCCCATGTTTTCGATCCGTTGTTTCACGGACCCTAGAGCTTTAACCACTTGCGCCGAGAATCTCCGGCCGCCGTCCATGGCGACCGCCGCCACGGCAGCACCTTCCGGCCATCTTTTTGGCCCAGTCATGACCCCCCGCTCCTCCGCTTCTTCCCGGTGCCATGGGATACGTTTTCCATGGACCGTGGCCCCCTTACCGTGCTCGCCGGAGTGCTCTCGCCGTCGTTCATGGCTGAGCCGCCGCGCTGCCACTGTTCCGGCCGGCCATCCTCCTTCTCTCTCCCCCGGATTCGTTTCTGGCCGTTCCTTTCTAATCCAACGACCGAGAACATCCGATACCCCTTCGCGTGGCAGATTTGCAAAAGAGACCCTCGGTTTCGGATGAATAGAACCCGCAGCCAAAGCGCATTTTCCTTATTACGCATTCTCGTTTTGAAAGCGTAAAGATCACTGCTTAAGTCTAAAATACGTTTTCAGTATTTACAGAAATGCCATTTGAACTGTTTTGCTTATAAAATTGTCGTTTTAGCTCCGAATTGATCCATTCAAATCGCGTTAGCTTTGTAATTCCATAACCTACATGTTAGAACTACTGTTAGTCAAGTTTGGAACTTTTTAATTTCATGGTTAGATTTAATTAAATATATGGCTATAGAAAAACCCGTTTAAATCATAACTTTCGCATTTTAGCTCCGTTTTTCGTGAACTTCGCGTTGACGTGATCGTAGCGAGACGTAGAATATTTTCACAAATATTTTATCTTATTTTCTATACTGTTGGTGTACTGTTCTAATGATAGAAATGTTTGCTTTGCATGAATGCTTTTGGGAATGTTGTATGTTGCCGTGTTGGTCGCGTTCAGACGGTGAGGAGAACGTTGGAGACCAAGAATTCTTCGACGAACAGCAGGACCAACAGGAATTTGCTAACCAAGGCAAGTATAGCATGGGCCTACCTTGATGTCCTATTTCACTTTAATCAATTACTCATGTGCATGTGTCTAATTTTGATAACCCTAAGGACATTCTAGACATTTGATGACTTGTTCCCTTGACTCCTATTGGGTAAATGCATATGGGTAGAATGCTAGTGCTCTAACTGAACATGATCTACATGATGATGAATGAATCTATGGAACTAAAAGTATAACCTGATTTATAACAACTGTTCCATAGGGCGAAGGTGCAAATGACTGTTGATCATGTTGCACTCGGCCCTCCATAAGAACTTATCTGTCGGCAAAAGCTGGGACTGACAGTGCAACCGTGAGAGTCATATGGCTCTGACTTTAGCTCAGTAATATAACCTTTTCTAGCTAGTTAGAGGTTACCTTTTTGACGCAAATGGGGCTTGCCACGTTGGGTATTGGGCTGCCTCTGTTCCTATGTGTATAGCCGCGATGGATATGTGCCATAGGAAAGGGGGGTTCCTACATCTGCCTGCCAAGGAAACCTAGCGGCCCTAACTTGTTAGAGAAACCTATGAAATGGCTTCATAGTGTACCCTGCCTGCTCACCTTGACAGTGATATGGGAGTAATTAACCCGGGCATATGGGGATCACGACTCGCGGTGAATGTGCACCACCTCTGCAGAGGGTAACAAACTGTTATAACAGCCGTGCTCACGGTCACGAGCGGCCCGAAAAACTCACAGAATAATTGGTTACTCATTGTTGTTCATTTATGATGGTTTATGATGATATGATTGAAATGATGCTGATATCTGATTAAGTGGGTTTAAATGGGAGCTTAAGCATAACTTGATGATACTTGATAATAAAATCTTGACTTACTAAAAGTGCTAACTGCAGTAAACCAGTGTCAACCTTTTTGAGCCTCATGAACCCCATGTTATCTTGTTGAGTACGGGAAGTACTTACGCTTGTTTAATTTCTTTATTTGGATAAAAATCCCGGATGGGTAATAGATGACAACGTGTATGAGGAGTTTCCTGAGGATTATTAGGCTTGTGGTCAACCAGTTGACCTTCCCTGTGATGGTGTTCCACGAGAGAGTTATATTTCATTTTCCGCTGTGATGTATAAGACTAAGTTATGTTATTATCGTGATGTAAGATACACTGTGATGATACTCTTTTTTAATTTGTCAGCTTGTGTGTGTGATTGATCCCTGGGCACACATGAGTTAGTGCATTCAATTTTATCCTTAAAATTGGGTGTGACAAATTGGTATCAAAGCAGTATTGACTGTAGGACCCAAGTCTAATAGAAACAGGTCGTTTTGAGGTTTATAAGTTACTGCAAAAACCCTTGCTCTATGAACCTTGATATTTTCTTCTCTACTATATCTCTATCTTTGCTATTTGTCTCTACCTTGGTGCTTATTTTAAAGAATTTGTTCTCATCTTCACTTCTTGGTTTGTTATGCTTTTAGAACTATCCCTCATCACCTTCTTGCGTGATCTGAAGAAGAGTCTTAGGATTGTTACCCCTAGTATAATAAGGACGATAGTATCGCAAGTTGAGTCAAAGATTGAGTTGTGCATCTCTATTGATTGTTGAATTGTCATTATGCTTATGATTGTTTTTAATCTTTGTAATGATTGCAATGATCTTGTTGGGTGTTCCCACAATTTCATTTAGTTATAGGCCTAAGGCATAAGGATTAATGAAATAAATAGTCGGGTTTTGGTTTTCTTCTGTTTTCCGTATCCTGTCTTTTCGGAGCAGTCTGCACTCTTCGACTTATATCTCTATTCTTGGACAACCAAAAATGATGAGAAAATTCTGGACAATAGTAGGCTCCAATATCTTTCTCTGAGCGCAAGAATCAGCTTGATAGCTATTTTGGTTATGGAGATACGAAAATCACAAGGCGATGCATTTGTGCTGTTTGGAACCGGGAACAATTTCTGTTGTGTACCGTTTTTGACCAAAGTATCTACGGAATTTGGAAAAGTGTTCTATAAAAAAGTTGTGGATAATTTTATAAGCTTTCCAACGGTATAATCTACAACTTTATTGGATTAACAGAATGGGAGTTACAGCCATTTTACTGTGCTGCTGTTTTTCATCTCGTGAGGAACTTTAGATTTCTTGTTCTTGCCCTTACACGAGAGTATCAATTGAATGACAGAATGCCTTATACTAGTTAGCTCATCTATAAGAATGTGCAAACTATGCTTGGTGTCCCCTAGTTTATCTTTTCTTAAGGGGGTAGCCAAGTGAAAGAATTTGCAAGATGAAGTGTCCTATGTTCTGGATTGCGCAGCGGAAGCGTGGTGGGCCCATAACCCACAGGTCCCAGGATTCAGAATGGATGAGAATGGTACTTTTCGGTTCGGTAAAAGTGATATCACCTGGAGAAGCAAAAGTCGTTGTCGATGTCCTTAGCATGAGAGAGTTTTGCTAAGAAGATTCGAACAACACCAAGGATAAAGAGTTATATTCCTAGTTCGAGCAACTTAGCCAAAAATATTAATGTTTTGAAGATTGGTAGAAGAATTTTCTTCTGACCAAGAGATTCGGCAGGACTTCGTCGGAAGGTGGATATTTTGAAGAGAATTGGTATTATAGAAAATGTGGCTTAGTGATTGGAGTTACCCAAAGGTTGTTCAAGGTACCTATCAGAATCTTGGAATCAATCGGGCAAGTTACTTGGAGTAAGATCAACATGTATGCAAAGTAAACAAGAATCCAAAGACGAAGAATCTGCATCTCTTTTGTCGACGTCTTCCGAATCTCGAGGACGAGATTCATCTTAAGGGGGTAGAATTGTAACACCCTAAAGTTTGCACTCTTTTAAAATAGCTAAATTGATTTATTTACGCAATTATGTGTGCATACAAATGTAGGAAAATAATAATTTTATAAAACTAAAATCAAATATAAGATTAGCTACAAGTGATGCATACATGCTGCTGCATATTATTTTGTGAATGTTTGGAATTGCTTAAAGATTTCAAAGAGAATTGACATTTGAATTTAAAAATGGATTTGGAAAATTGTTAAAAAAGAAGAAGAAAAGAATCATTTTCTCTCCCTCCCTTCTTGATTTTCGCCCATGAGCCTTTCCTTCTCATGCCCACTCCTCCTCATTGGCCCATCTCCTCCCCAGTAGCCCACTCGGCCTCCCCTTCTTGCTTGGCAAGGCAGCACCAAAGACTCACGGCCCGGCCCAGCCCCGCTCCGGCCCAGCTTTCCTCGGCCGTCCAGCAACCATCGCCACGCCTCCTTCCCAGTACCGACACACCGGGCCCAGATGTTTGTCGGCGCTGTCCCCTCCTCCCAAGCGACTGAAACCGCCCGTAGGCGCTCATGGCAACCGCCGCCCATGCCTCCGATCGTGGGAGCGCCCCCGCTCCTCGGCCTCGATTTAAAGGAGCCGAGCCACCCCGCGCCCCCCCCCTGCTGTCCCCGCTCACTCTCGCGTCGCCTGTGCAGGAGACACCAAGCCAGGTGGCCGCTGGAATCGCCGTCCGCCATCCGCGTCGACCACTTTCCCGAGCCGCCTCCGACCGCTTTTTTCCCGCCGTGAGAATCCCCTGCTCCCCTCTACCTCCCCATGTTTTCGATTCGTTGTTTCACGGACCCTAGAGCTTTAACCACTTGCGCCGAGAATCTCCAAATACCGTCCATGGCGACCGCCGCCACGCAGCACCCTCCGCCATCTTTTTGGCCAATCCATGACCCCCGCTCCTCCGCTTCTTCCCGATGCCATGGGATACGTTTCCATGGACCGTGGCCCCTTACCGTGCTTTCGCCGGAGTGCTCGCCGCCGTTCATGGTGAGCCGCCACTTGTATTGCCACTTTTTCCGCCGCCATCCTCCTTCTCTCTCCCCCGGATTCGTTTCTGGCCGTTCCTTTCTAATCCAACGACCGAGAACATCCGATACCCCTTCGCGTGGCGACGGCAAAAGAGACCCTCGGTTTTGGATGAATAGAACCCGCACGCCAAAGCGCATTTTCCTTATTACGCATTCTCGTTTTGAAAGCGTAAAGATCACTGCTTAAGTCTAAAATACGTTTTCAGTATTTACAGAAATACCATTTGAACTGTTTTGCTTATAAAATTGTCGTTTTAGCTCCGAATTGATTCATTCAAATCGCGTTAGCTTTGTAATTCCATAACCTACATGTTAGAACTACTGTTAGTCAAGTTTGGAACTTTTTAATTTCATGGTTAGATTTAATTAAATATATGGCTATAGGAAAACCCGTTTAAATCATAACTTTCGCATTTTAGCTCCGTTTTTCGTGAACTTCGCGTTGACGTGATCGTAGCGAGACGTAGAATATTTTCACAAACATTTTATCTTGTTTTCTATACTGTTGGTGTACTGTTCTAATGATAGGAATGTTTGCTTTGCATGAATGCTTTTGGGAATGTTGTATGTTGCCGTGTTGATCGCGTTCAGACGGTGAGGAGAACGTTGGAGACCAAGAATTCTTCGACGAACAGCAGGACCAGCAGGAATTTGCTAACCAAGGCAAGTATAGCATGGGCCTACCTTGATGTCCTATTTCACTTTAATCAATTACTCATGTGCATGTGTCTAATTTTGATAACCCTAAGGACATTCTAGACATTTGATGACTTGTTCCCTTGACTCCTATTGGGTAAATGCATATGGGTAGAATGCTAGTGCTCTAACTGAACATGATCTACATGATGATGAATGAATCTATGGAACTAAAAGTATAACCTGATTTATAACAACTGTTCCATAGGGCGAAGGTGCAAATGACTGTTGATCATGTTGCACTCGGCCCTCCATAAGAACTTATCTGTCGGCAAAAGCTGGGACTGACAGTGCAACCGTGAGAGTCATATGGCTCTGACTTTAGCTCAGTAATATAACCTTTTCTAGCTAGTTAGAGGTTACCTTTTTGACGCAAATGGGGCTTGCCACGTTGGGTATAGGGCTGCCTCTGTTCCTATGTGTATAGCCGCGATGGATATGTGCCATAGGAAAGGGGGGTTCCTACATCTGCCTGCCAAGGAAACCTAGCGGCCCTAACTTGTTAGAGAAACCTATGAAATTGCTTCATAGTGTACCCTGCCCGCTCACCTTGACAGTGATATGGGAGTAATTAACCCGGGCATATGGGGATCACGACTCGCGGTGAATGTGCACCACCTCTGAAGAGGGTAACAAACTGTTATAACAGCCGTGCTCACGGTCACGAGCGGCTCGGAAAACTCACAGAATAATTGGTTACTCATTGTTGTTCATTTATGATGGTTTATGATGATATGATTGAAATGATGCTGATATCTGATTAAGTGGGTTTAAATGGGAGCTTAAGCATAACTTGATGATACTTGATAATAAAATCTTGACTTACTAAAAGTGCTAACTGCAGTAAACCAGTGTCAATCTTTTTGAGCCTCATGAACCCCATGTTATCTTGTTGAGTACGAGAAGTACTTACGCTTGTTTAATTTCTTTATTTGGATAAAAATCCCGGATGGATAATAGATGACAACGTGTATGAGGAGTTTCCTGAGGATTATTAGGCTTGTGGTCAACCAGTTGACCTTCCTTGTGATGGTGTTCCACGAGAGAGTTATCTTTCATTTTCCGTTGTGATGTATAAGACTAAGTTATGTTATTATCGTGATGTAAGATACACTGTGATGATACTCTTTTTTAATTTGTCAGCTTGTGTGTGTGATTGATCCCTGGGCACACATGAGTTAGTGCATTTAATTTTATCCTTAAAATTGGGTGTGACACCTTACCCTCGCCTGTGCAATGCGAGGAGACCGCGACTCGAATCCGGGACCTTCCGGTCACAGGCGGTAAGACTCTACTGCTTGAAACAAAGAATGCAATAGAAGAGAAAAAACAAGCAGACCATTTGTTCCAGAAATTAGAAGAGGTGAGAAAACAGACTGAATATTTACAGAGAAAGGCAAATGAATTCTCTGCAGGTAGAGATGTAATTTCTTCTGGCAAGTATGGGTGGCGACATGTTGATAGAACTTCTTTGAGTGCAAATGTAAAGCTTCTCAAAGAGAAGCTTAAGCTGAAGAAAGAACAACTAAAGCATGTAAAGAATGTGTCCAAGCTAGATAAAGCAAAAACTGCTTTAATAAGAAGAGAGCTTCAACGTTTCAAGCAAGACTGGACGCAGCTACTGAGTCGGTTTAACATGCTGGATGACCACCTTGCTCGCGGTGTTGAAGGTATTCATGTCTTAACAGAGGTCTGTATCCTGCATGCTAGTTATTACTGTCTTCATCTATGTCTGTGAAGGTAATTTTGGTAAAAACAAGAATATCTTAGCAATAGGTAATAATAGTTCTGACATCCTAATAGAACAATGAACTGTTCTTCATCTCTATGCAATTTGGCATTTGTTCATGGACTTTCCTTCTTCTAATACTAATAAAATAATTGATTTGTTAATCATATCATAGGGGGGCAGTCATTCCATCTGAAATAGCACCTTTTCTCAGTCTTCATTTTGTCCTAAAAAATCTTCTTGTTTTTCAAAGTATATGAGTGGGCCAGTGGGGGAAGCGTCATAAGGCCTTCCATAGCGTGAGTGGTGCTTGAAACTGTACAGACGCTTGAAACTGTACAGGCTAGCCACGCCAGTGATGCCTGGTGCAATTCCTACTCACATTGTGCAGCCTCACTTCTTCCTATTTTAACATGCCTCACAACAGTACAAAATGGCAGGATGACAATCAATGCCCTGCTGACCTTTCAAGCCATTCCATGTCTGCATGTGGGCCCTTGATTTTGTTTAGTCTTCAAGCATTGGCTCCTATACTTTCGCCGCTCCCAGAAATTTTGGCGTGGGCATCGGTTGTCATAGTGGTAGGAGCGATGCTCAAATCGTCTCTCTACTATTAGGCTTCACTTCAAGCGTACACTGCAAATGGCCTAAGATGTGCACTTGCTAGTACCACCAATGTTTTCAGGTCATCCGATCAATCGCGATTAGTCATCCTGATTGGTCCCTGGTGTTCGATTAGGAGGATCGACTCGATTAGCTTGACCACAAAGCTGGTTGTCCGATTAATCGACGACTAATCGCGATTAGTCGTCCGACTATGACAGGGACGACCAGTTTGGTTACTATGTTTTTGAGCCTGTTTAACTGGGTGGACATGTGGGACTATTGAATGTCAATATTTGTGACTTTGTGTTGAACACTTTAGCTTATCTGTACTGAACTAATTTGGTTATGTGATATGCTGGTTGTGTGGCTGCTATGGTTTGCTAAATGTTAGTTATTTTGCTGCAGTGCTGCTGTTCAGGTGCGTCAAGATCAAGACTGCATTAGTGTCACCAGCTAAACACTAATGCAGTCTTGATGCTTGCTTTATTGTGTATACTATATATATATATATATATATATATATATATATATATATATATATACACACTATATACTATATATATATACATGGACGACCAGGGTCGACTAATTGGCCTGGTCGACGACTAATCGCAATTAGTCTCCTGGTCGGTCCCATGGCGACCAGGTTCGACCAGACGACCTAAAAACATTGAGTACCACGAGTAAATGCTTGGATATTCCTCTCTGATCACTAGCCCATGTCATTTCGTACTTGGGGTGGTTGACAAGATTATTTTTTCTCATCTAATTCCATATAGCCTGCTAGATCATACTAAAAAAATCTTATTGCATTAGAGTATTTTACGTAATTGTTTCATGCTGATGGTTTTCTGTTCATAGTATCATCATTTCGTTAGGAAGCTGGCTGTTTCCACACACTGTTTCAGAAATTTTATCATGCTACTTCTTTAGTTTGATGATAGTATCACCATTTATGCAATTTTTTCCTGGCTACTACACAAAAAAAGCTATAAAAATAGAAAAATTGGGACTCTTAGGTAAAGGGTGTACCTTTTAAGTGAAGCACTCCATGATATTTCTCCAAGGCTACAGGCCCACCCCGCAGACAATGTGGCACCAGCCCGGAAAATAAAACTACTCAAACCTGCTTTGTATTAGCAGATAGGGGAAATGTTGCAGTAGCCACACCTGTTTTAAAAGGGCAAACATTGCGAAAAGGGTGATTCTCAACATAATGGTAAGAATCTGTGAAACAGAGGGGATGTCTTCAATGTTGCGGGGGCTGTGACTTCACATGGCAAACATGATATACTTTTTGTCTTTATGTTTTCTGCGAATGGAATGCTGGGTCAAACTAATATATCACTTGTGTAATGTAATGTTGATATCATGATATGCATTGAAATGCCACAATATTGGGTTTCCCTCTAGATCACTGTACAGTGACTATGAATGAGCAGTTATAATTCATAAATTATGTTGTAGTAGATATCACCTGCGTATTCTTTGATCTTGTTCCTAATATATTGCATATGTTTTTTTAAAGTTCATTTATATTTGTTATGTTCTATCTATATAAACTGATGTGATTACTGGCATTGTCTAAAAAAAAAGGACGTACCCAGTGCAGAGAGCTCCCACTCTGTGCGGGGTCTGTGGAAGGGTGTTAGTGGCAAGCCTTACCCTCGCCTGTGCAATGCGAGGAGACCACGACTTGAACCCGGGACCTTCCGATCACATACGGTAAGACTATACCGCTTGCACTAGGCCCACCCTTCATTACTGGCATTGTCTCATATTTACAATTGAATCAGTATCCGGAGATACGTGGCTTTGAACAGAAGCTGCTTCCTAATGATTCAGTTCCTGCCCCATATTTTGGGTTGCAGGCTGGGATAGTTCCATTTGGCTCTTCTATCCCAAGTGAATACACTTCATATCAGTTACCCAGAGAAAGCTGCTCACGACCAATCTCAGGTACTAGTTCTCACAGAACAAAGTCAAAAAGTCAGCACAGATCTTCATGTCCAACATCCATATCTGATGAAAAATTCATGGGCTCACAGGGTAAGGATAGCCTATTTCTCTCATCGACAGATGTAAGAAAAAAAAAGAATTCAGTTGTTCCCGAGCTGCCTCCTAAAGTTAGTAATGATAGAGCATTGCCTCCAGAAGCATTGAGGATACCCTTGTCTTGTGGTATGGAAGTTACAGATAAAAGAGAAACGCATTGTGGTGATAGGAAGAGAAAAAGGACCAAAAGGTCTCCAGAACCCTCTGCTTATCTTCCCTCTAAAAATGATTTGCTGCATTTGAAATCAAAGGGGCATGCCGCCACTTCAAATGTCGCATTAGCATTTGATGATGATCCTTTGTGTCTGCAGCAAGGAAATAACACCATGTGTGTGACTGAAGGTGACATGAAAAATCATAGGAGAAAATATCTTGCTGTCTCTGATAGAGCTCCTCCACTCAGTTTCCCTTCTAAAGTGTTTTCTTGTGGAGGAATTGGCTGTGCCAGTAGCAAGTTTGCTTCATTGATCCCCTTTAAGGAAATGGTCAGGGAAAACTGCTTAAAGTTGCTCAATTTGGATGATGATGCAGATGAGGAAAAGTATAGAAAGGCAAAGGAGAGACCCCTTTCACCAAACCTGACCGTTATTCGACCCCGTAGAACTAGGATGCCTACATATGCAGAACCTCACAGTTCGGGTAGATCTCTCAACGATTGTCCTGCCTTAGGATCTGATGCCCTTGATTCCAAGACAAGGTCTAAAGCATTGGAAGTTAAAGAGCCTGCAATTCAGAAATCGACTCAAAATTGTATCCAGCTTGATCCATCGTCAAATATAATCGAGTGTAGTGGCATTGCTAAACCCGTTTTCGCGAATGATAAATCCAATGCAGCTGTCAATGTTTCTTGTAGCACCAGTTTGGTCGTAGTGCCAACGAACGCTTCTTTTGGCAGCCTTTTGCATGAGGATGTGGCCCAGAATTCTGTAGCATCTTCTGCTGAGGGATTAGACAGTATAAGCAGACCAGTGTTATCAGGAAGTACCTGCAGTGGTCATTCAAATTCCATTTTACATTTATCCAAGGAAGTGCCTACCAAAAACAGCTCACATCAGATTTGTGACAATTCATCAAGTCCTGGGCTGCAAGCTAATGTTGGGACAAGTGAAATAACAGTGACCAAGCCAAACAACTCAGTCTCTAATAGTTTGCTTGGGCATCATTGTGGATCTGAAAAACCTCCAATGCACTTAGTTGGATTTACAAGAATGAAAAGAAGCAACATGATGAACATATTTCGGTATTGGGAGATGCTGAGTTCTCAATCTCAAAAGCATTCTAACAAAGCTTTAGTTGATGGTCCATTGCTTGATAAAGTGTCAACTAACACATTGCTACCTACAGAGTAGGTTTGCTTGCACTTGTTTAGCTCGGGCTTTATATGCACTCTTTCATTTGCAATTTATTATAAAAACTAAATGATCTGATTTCTTTTTGCAGTGAGAAGGTTTCCCTCATATTTTCCCTTTTGTTGTGGGATATTAGATTTGCAGAAGAAACTTTTGCGGACGGAAATTTTGCCTCATCAGCTTTTTCGTTGAGTGGTATGACATCTGAAAGTCTTATAAAATTTAATTGCTTTCTTTCTGTTTTTGTAGCTCGGATTCGGTCCAAAATTTGTATGTTAAACTTTCCTCTCTTTTTATTCTGGTTAATAGTGAAAATGTCTGATCATAGGCTTCTATGCCTTTTAGATGTGGCCACTAGTTGTCTATGAAGGGTTTGCTTGTCATGTAGCTGTAGCATTCTATCAGTGGCCTGTTATCACGTACATGTTATTACGTAGTTCAGAATTGCTTTGATGCACACACTATGGAATGTGATGTTTTTCCTACCTTTCTTCACAACTACCCAATGCGCTTTTGTTTACATCAACAACATTGCTACTAACTCATTCTATGCTTTGATGAAGCTATTATATTGATTTGTTGATAGCCTTTGATCAGTATCATATGCTAACTCCTGGGTTACAATTTCAATTTGTTATCTTCTTTGCAGTGAAATCTCATATGGAAACAAGGTGGACCATTCTGAGAGGGGATGAGCTGGATATTCTTATCTCCTTAATTGAAGATTTTCTCCTGAACAAAGAAGTTGTAGTCTGCGAGAAAATGACACAGAAGGTTTTTGGCGCAAGCAAGGATCATGAATTAGATGATGAAACTGGTATACAGCTATCTGTTAAACCTGCAAAAATAAATGAATTTATCACGGCTTGCATTCTGTTGGCTTCAATATGTGTGGAAGTGGGTAGAGTGGACATTGTATTAGAGGTTTCATACAAAGTTCTTCAGATGGGTAAAAGTAATCTTTTCTGGACTCTGCTGGCTCTCCATGTCTTTGGTTCCATGTTTGGTGATAATTTCTCCCACCAAAGAGTTGCAACTTCCTCATGACAGCTATACGGTTAGTTGTCCTGCTTCTTGAGAGGAAGGACACTTCTCTGTGCCTTAACATTACCATCCTGTGCACATTGCTTGTTTAATGTGGATACGGTTTCCATAGATGGTTTCATCTCTTCACTATTGGATGAGCTGGATTTATGTTCTCTGCAGTGGAATAACCGCGCCTGCTCAAATGAAACTATCACAAGGTGCAGTTCTCATTTGGGATCAAGTGGACTTGATACCAGCTGTAGTGAAACTTGTAATATCTTCAAGCAAGGAAAACTATCTGAGGATACTCATAACTACCCTGCAGCAATTAACTTATGCTACTTCACCGAGCTAATTTCTTTGCTCGAGGTCTTTGGGATTTATATGGTATGATCATCTGTGATCTCTTCTTAATTTTTGTTCTCTTTGATATTTTTTGTTTTTTCACCAAGTATACATGCATACAAATTTTGATGCGCTAATGTAACTTTTTGGGCTGTAAGCCATTGATTCTGACTTTGTGCACAGTATTGACTTTTTATATGATCTGTTCCAGTATCGACTGATTATTTTGTCTCCATTTTTAGAGCTGCGAGTGGACATACAACAATGTCGTTGTCCGTCTTCTGGAGATTCTTGAATCGTGCATGTGCCATGACTATTCAGCTGCTCTGTTAGTACTTGTCAGCCAACTTGGAAAGTTTGCCCTGTTGCCCATATACTGTCCTGTATTGAACTGTTCCATGCTTTTCTTTTTTTATTTTATTTTCCAATGCATGAACAGAGAATCTACCACCATAGAATTCTTGATGTGCATGTGTTGTATGTGGCACTCTGTTCTACCTAGAATCCTGTGTAGAAATGAGAGGGTGAGAAGAGAGGGGGATAATGTCGCACACACCTAAAGGGGCTGGGTCCAGGGGGCACCTAAAGAGAGAGAGATTAAATAGAATCATACAGGATTACATTTAGTGCCATATCATGCTATCCATAAGAGGAAGCATATACGGAAGGCCACCAATATAACAAGGAACGAATTCCTGTGCAATCGGAAACAAATCATTAAAATCTTTCATCCTGATATGGCCCTAAATTGCTAAACTGGTGTTTTTTTTTATAAGAATCTGTACAGAATAAAATCACTAAACAATCCAACTCCTAAGTTCCCTAAAAGTTTTTCAATCATGATCTATGCTACACACAGCTTTACATGACAGCTAGGTCTGGTCATTCTACCAGTTATTCCACTGTACTGGCTGATGTAAAGATCATGTAGTATAGCTGTTTGGTAACTTCCTCCCCTGTAGGGCAATTGCAAAATTCCAGATATGTGACTAAAATACCTGGACCTTGGCACATTCTTTGATCTACTTTTTCCCATTCCTCAAAATTTGATATTATTAATTTCCAGTATTTCATCATCCAAGCTAAAACCAACATTCTGTAAAATGTAAGGTCTCTGCCATGAATGTACACTTTGTCGTTTGGATCAAGCACGAGTACATACATGTTCATACAGTTCTGATTTCAGTCTCCTTTTATATGTATTTTCATGCAAGTTTCAAGTATATCTTTTGTTCTGACTTGTATTTCTAAATTTGTTCGGCTCTGTTCATGTCCCAATTTATAGGTCCTTTGTCGATGATGTTGGTTATGAGGAGAGAAGTGTTAGTAAGCTGAGGAACAAATTATCATCATTGTTAACAGGGACAAGTTTTACAGAGTCATGGAGTTTCAGTGTTCAGTTTACTGCCATTGGTGCATTGGTCAGTGTCCTTCCACTGCCATTTGACAAAATTGTTGCCACTGAAAGTAGACAATTATCAGGTCCCTTTGTTGTGCAAGTGAAACAGATTTCTGAATGGTTTGTTCAGTTAAGCAGCGAGCATCAATCTTTAGCTCGTTCCTTTTTTAGCTGAAAGCCTATATATTGGCTGGGCCTTGACATGGGCCAGTGAAGAGCCCCGTGCAATTTTGATGTGTCCCCGCACAGACGTATTCATGGTCTTATAACATGACGTTGGATTACTCCCTTGCCTTGACAGGATGATGTTTATTCTTGAGTGTCAATGTTATGTTCTTGAGTGTGGAGAAGCAAGTAAGGAACCAAACAGTGAAGCATTCGGAGATGCAAATGCAGAACACCAGAACCAAGAAATGTCAGGGTTTGGTATGAGTTGAAACAGGACTGCAGATTCTTGCGCTGTTGGATGTCAAGCTCGATTGGTACATCAGAAACTATTGAATCAAGGATTCCGACTGCAGAATGGTGATGATGATGTGTGGTTTGGATCTCTAGGACCCATCAGGTCTGCAATGTCATGATTGGTGGTTAGTAGATGAATGAGATCTGGAGTATGATTAGCTGACAAGATCCTCTCAATCAAGAAGTTTTTATCCAGGTAGCTCCGTAGCTTGGTCCCATGAGAACCAACCTTTGGTTTGGTGGTAGGCAAGTCTTGTGTGCAAGAAAGTGATCCAAATTTTGATGACGACACCTTGTTGCCATGCTTTGCCCTTTTTCTCTTTTCTCGCATTAGAGGATGGAGGTAGATTAGATGTACTACCTTACCAAATTTATCCAAGAAGAGGCGTTTGCGGTTTGCCTATCAACTAGGCTTGTAACATGACGTTCTCATCATCTATGAATGAAAGCAAAATGATTTCTTGGCTTTGGCTTCGTAATGCTAGTGTGAAGTTCTTCCATATATAGGTTATAAATGCAAGCATGATCTAATGGTCTCACAGTTGCTATTCGAATGGTTTGGATACATTGGAAGACATTCTTTGGCAGCACTATTAGGTGCAACGCTATGCTTATTGCCAGGATCTTAAGCTGTATGTAGTGACCAGACGAGGTTAAGTGGGAAAACATTTGTTATTTACCGACTGAAACTGGAATTAAACTTCTGTGCCGCTTCTATTCTACGTGGGCGGACAAACCCAAACTTGGAAGCTAGAATTGTCATTGGCATTGGCCCATGAAATCATAATGAACTGCGTAATCCAGAGCCAGGGTGGGTGGTTGTTTCGTCTATGCTGGCCCAACCCAAATAAAATGTAGGTCAGGCTCGGATCGGGTCGTGGGCTCGTGGCACGAGCGAGCGAAAGCGCGAAAAATACCCTGCCGCTGACCACCCCCAGGCCCAGTCCCCCCGACAGGTGCACGCCGGTCGCCCCGCCGCCATCTGCAAGCCTATCGTTCGCCGGTGACCCAGCGCTTGGTCCCTCGACCCTCGGTCGCCCGCATCCACCAGCCCAGACTGACTAGAAGGCCCTTCCTGTCTCGTTTCTGCTGCTTTGCACACGCAGTTGTGCGATCCCCAGACAGCGGCGGCGGCGATGAGTATCTCAGGCGAGCTTCCCGGCGAAGGATCTGACGGTGAGGAGGAGGTCTTCATCAACGAGGAGGACATCATCCACGAGATAACCATCGACGAAGAAGGTTGATCAGCAGTGCTAGTCTCCCTTCTACTTACCTTTACCTTCTTACTTCCTTACTCCATCGCTAGCTGCAGCTGCTTATTCGTGCTTGCCTTACCTTGTCAGATCTCCCCGACCGCGACGAAGAAGATGACGACATTGGCGGCGGGATGGGTACGTAGGGGTGGATTTTGTTTGGTTTATTATCTGTTTTTTTATTCGCCGGCTAGCCTCTCAGATAGTTCTTGAGGAGGTTGAGATAGTTTTTGTTCTGACATAGTTAGTGCGGAGCGATTTTCATATTCTAGTGCTATGTAATGTTCTTGTATGTATCGCTTATTCACTTGACGCCTGCATCCTAAGCTTGGCTGTTCAAGGTCTCCAAGGATGCATCAATCAGACAGTTCAACTGGCTATTCTCTGTATCTATGCCTCGTTAAATAGTGCAGTTAGCTCCCTTTGTGTTACATACTCTTGTTATCTTCTTGCTACTAGTTCCATTTGCATTCTGAAGAATAATGGCTCTTGTCCTTCTGAAATTTTCATTTAGATAGAAACCTGCACTTGATGATGTGCTCAGTTGCTCACTTTTCATGATGTACATTCTAATTAAGTTATCCGGCGATGCTTCGTTATGCAATCTAATGGCTACTTTCGTTTCCAGTTGACTCAGAAGACGTCGATGATTCTACATACACATTCCAAGGCCACAAAGGCAAGTTGTTACACAAGAAAAATGAAGCTCACACTGCTTCTGTGGTGCTGACCTGCAGAGTAGTGCTATGTGTAATATGGTGCAATGATTTTCAATTTACAACCACAGATTAATATGTGCCCTGGAAATTTTGGATAGCAAATCCCATGTTTCCTATCCTAATGCTGGTATCCTACACATCTCAGCGCCTTTCTTTGATAATAACTACACTAATACTCCTTTTATCGTTCCTTCCATTTTTCTGGGTACAGATGAAGTCTTCACTGTTGCGTGCAGTCCTACAGATGCATCACTTGTGGCTTCTGGAGGCAAAGATGATAGGGGATTTCTGTGGAGGATTGGATCAGAAGAGGGTGCCTTGGAGCTGACTGGTATAGTTTTCTTTGTTATTTTTTTATTTGTTGGATGGCAATTATTATCGAAATATCTCTGTACTAGCTCTGAGATCTCTGTGCTTTTATTTCGTTTTTTTTATATGTGAAGTACACCCACTCTTGATTTGTTTGAATTCATGTATGATGATATTTTTTGTTGTCTTCATTCATTATTGTTTATCCCAAACATTACATGAAATGAACTTTGTTCTTGTCCATGTAAATAGTGGTGGTACATGTATCATGTTGGTTTTCTGTATTTGGTATTGTGCTCGAATTTCATGACATCCACATCTTCTACATGGATGTAATTCACTATCTAATTTCTATGCTTTTCCTGCATTTCATATCTACTATTAGTTAGCCTCTTCTCATGTACTCCCTCCGTTCCAAATTACAAGACATTTTGGCTTTTCTAGATACATTGCTTTTTCTATGCATCTAGACATAGTCTATATCTAAATGCATAGCAAAAGCTATGTATCTAAAAAAGCCAAAACGTCTTATAAGTTGGAACAGAGGGAGTAGTATTTTTCCATGTTGATGCATGCTCATTATTTTTTCACGTTGTTGATTTGCAAGCTCAGGAAACTTACAGAATAGCCGTTCTTAATACAGGACATAAGGATACTGTCAGCACAGTGTCTTTCAGTTCAGATGGGAATTTGTTGGCTTGTGGAAGTTTTGATGGGCAAATAAATGTGTGGAATACAGCTACACGAACTCTCAAGGGAACCCTTGAGGGTTCTGGGTCAGGTTTTGAGGTGCGATATTCTGATCTCATTCAACTGAACTTATTTCCATTGTGAAACCCTTCCTTTCCATCACTATTCAATGATTAATCTCATAGTGTGACTTACATGTTTGATTTTGTAGTGGCTTAAATGGCATCCTCGGGGACATTTGATAATCGCAGGATCAGAGGATTGTAATATATGGATGTGGAATGCTGACCATAATGCCATTCTAAATACCTTTGCTGGACATAGTACCACAGTGACATGTGGTGATTTTACTCCAGATGGTACAATCACGGTTCCTTGATTGCTATGCATCTGCTTATTTATAAAGTTGCGGTTTGGTTGCCTATGTAGGTTTACCTATGAATGCTCTGTTCCTTGTGAAGGTAAACTTATATGTACTGGATCGGATGATGCATCTTTGAGGATATGGGACCCAAGAAGTGCACAAAGCAGACATGTTGTTCGAGGTAAATTGCCATGTACTCCCTCCGTCCTAAATTAGTCCACTTTGGCTTTATCCTAAGTCAAACTTTTTTTCAACTTTGACTAAGTTTATAGAAAAATGCATCTAGAACATCACATCAGTTTCATTAAATTCTCCATGAAATGTGTTTTTGACTTTTGTAGATCATTTATTTGAACTTGTAGGCTTGTATTCCCTCCATTCGAAATTCTAAGACGCTTTTGGCTTTTTTAGATACATAACTTTTGCTATGCATTTGGATATACACTGTCTCTAGATACATAGTATGCAATGTATCTAGAAAAGACAAAACGTCTTATAATTTGGAACGGAGGGAATAGATGTTAATATATTTTTTCTAAAAACATAATCAAAGTTAGAGAAGTTTGATTTAGGACAAATTTCATCTGAAAGTATAATAATTTGGAAAAGAGTGAATATGTTGTAATGACCACATATAGTTTTAGATGTGCTCAATCAAGCAGACACATGAAATTTGTTTGGTATTTCTGTTTCCCTTATTGTAGGCCATGGCTATCATTCTGATGGATTGACATGCTTATCAATGACTTCGGATTCACAAACGGTAGTTAGCGGCTCCAAGGACAGTTCTGTGCACATTGTGAATGTAAACTCGGGCCAGGTAGGTGTACCTTATAGTTCAATCTGGTCTTTGTTTTTTCTTTCCTCACCATTTCTCCCCTTTTGATCAATAATTGGTGTTTTTTCAGGTTGTTGGCTCATTAATAGGTCACACCAATTCCATTGAGTGTGTTGGTATCTCGTCAAGGTAGTGTCTCAAATTAGTTGGCAAATTAAATGGCAACACGATTTTGTTGCAGATTGTGACTTAATTTCTTGTCTGCAGCTATGGCTGGGTAGCTACAGGGAGCATGGATCAAAAGCTGATCATCTGGGACCTCACGCACCAATCCAGCCGATGCATTTGCGAACATAATGTGGGTCGATTGCTTCTTCCCTCTGTGTGCACTTGCAGTTTGTTCGTTCAATCATTCATCCATTCTTCTGCGCATGCATTGATGCAGGAGGGCGTGACATCACTGGCATGGCTAGGCTCGTCAAGGTATGTTGCATCAGGATGTATTGACGGCAAGGTGCGCATCTGGGACAGCCTCTCTGGAGACTGCGCCAGGGAGTTGAGTGGGCATGCAGATGTAGTACAGTCGCTGGCCATCACTGCCGACGGCAACACCATGGTCTCCGCCTCATCAGATGGCTCCGCCCATGTGTTTGACACCTCCATGTTCAAGTGAAGGAAACTGCATGGGACGGAGTAGATGGTTGCTGTGTATGCTAGGGCTTGTTTGTGCTGCATGAATGATGATGATGGCTTGTCATGGTGATATGCCATTGTACTCATGACCTCAACTCAAGGTGTCAAATGCTTGTAGTGGTCCTTATAAATTCATAATATCTGTTTGCTGATGTCCAGGTTGTGTGGCTTACTGTGGGGCAGATGGTACTGCTGTGTACTTCCAGGTGAACTTTCTAGTTGATATACATCATGGACATCATTTCTTGTGGTTCTGAGTTGCAGTGCTCTAAACAACTATTCAACTTGCTGTAGCTTAATTCGAGATTCTGGGATAAGGAACCTGGGTGTAACCGTGTTCCTTATTTCCTCTCTGGATCATTATCAGAGGAAGGAGAAAATTATTAAGATTGGCAGCAGGCTGCAATTAAACGTCTCCATTACCAAATGTTCCTGTGCTGACAAAAAACAAAAAGTGTTCAAAACCATGACAAAATATAGTTCAGGCACTCGCTACAAGCGATGTCACTGGGCTGCTGACATGTCAGCTCAACTCCCCCCACAGGAAACAGTGACGCTGTAAATCTAGAACTTCGTGATGCTCAAGATGATGGACGCAGCGAAGGCGATCAACGAGGTCGTTTGTGGGCTTGTGGCTAGTACTTGCAGTCCGGATCTGACGGAGCCGCGCGTCGCCAGATTTAGTGGAGAAGCCCAGTAGTGGCCCATAGGTGTAGATACACCTCCCTGAAAATGAAATTTAGCTATTAGCAACCCATCTCGGTCCTATATGCACCCTCTTGATCTAGTTTGCTGCACCCCCCAAAGGCCGAAGCCTAGGCAACAACACAATTGAAATTTGGCAGCCCATAACTTAAGCCCGTGAGGAATCAACCACCGGCCCACCGTAAACTCTGGCTGCCTGAACTTCTATGTACATTTTTGAATGATAATAATGTTGGGAAGCTGGCGTCCGTCCGTCCGGACGCTCCGTTGATAGGCCGCAACGCTAGCCCAATAACCTGCGCAGAGGCAAGAAAGCCCCAGCGGCATGCGGTCTGCGTCTGCGTAGAGGTGAGCTCGCGTCGATGCGGAGGCAGGCAAGCCCCGTGACAGTCACTCATGCACGACTACGCGAGGCCAGCGAGCCGCGCGGGCGACGACGTGGAGGCAGGAGAGCTCCGCGGCACGCGCTCCGCGTAGAGGCGAGCTCGCGGCGGTGCGGAGGCAGGTAAGCCCCGATGGCAGCCACTCGTGCGCGACGACGCTAGGTCAGCGAGCCGCTTCCGAGGCACAGCGCTCGACCACTGGGCCTGCCAGGCACGACGCGCTCTACACTCGGCTGCTGGCCCTGCCAAACGCGACGTGCTGCTGCCCTCTCCCAGTCATGCGGCCGCTGCCTCCCAGCCACGTTGCGAGGCCGATGCCTCCCTTCCACGTCGTGCGCCCGATGTCTCCCTTCCACGTCATGCAGCCGCCGCCGTTGGGCCACCGCCTCCAAGCGCCGCGCGGGCCGCTGCCTCTGGTGAACTCCACACGCCGACGAGCCTCCATTCTCCCGAGCATCAAGTAGATGTTGCGTTGCGCTGAAAGCGCATGTTGCAAGTGTATGTTTCAATTGTTTCAGAGGTATGTTTGCAAGTGCTTCTTACCGATGTTGCAAAAGTAGGTCGGGATGTTGCACATGTTGCAAGAGTATGTTTCAAATGTTTCATTTGTTTTTAGTCTTATGTTGCAGCAAGTGTTTTTATGTTGCAAGTGTTTCATGTGGATGTTGCATATGTTGCAGTGGCTATACACGTATGTTGCAAGTGTATTGTTGTTCCAAATATTTCAAATGCTTCAGACGTAGGTTGCACGTGTTTTATATGGGTGTTCATATGTTTCACGCATATGTTTGGAAGTGTTTCATCCGGATATTGCATATGTTTCACACATATGTTGCAAATGTTTTATTTGAATGTTGTATATGTTTTGCAATGGCTACACATGTTTTATTGGTGTTTCATACGTACGTTGCAAGTGTTTTAATTGATTCGGACATATGTTGCAAGTGTTTCATCTAGATGTTGCAAGATAGATTTGGTGTTGCACATGTTGCAGTGAGACCCATATATAGCAGCCACCTGTTGTAGTTTGGGTCCGCCTGCATGCGCGTAGGTGTGGAGGGGGCCACGATGTGAGCACGGGACACGGAGCGGCGTGGGACACGAAGCGCGTGTGGGCCACGGTGCGGGCACGGGACACGGAGCGGCGCGGGACACAAAGCGCGTGTGGGCCATGGTGCGGGCGCGTGACATAAAGCGCGGGGGGCACGATGCGAGCACGGGACACGGAGTGGCGCGGGCCACGGTGTGGGGCGTGAGACACGTTGCGGGCACAGGACACGAGCACAGGCCCCCACGTGAAATAGGCGTAGCATGTGCGGGCGTCCAGGCTAGCCCTGTCCGGATGTCTAGGCGCCAAACATACCGTTTTTTTAAACAATATGGCAAACTTTATTCATCGAAGAAGGCTATACATCATTTATCACAAAATCAAGAATAAAGCTAGAGAACTCACCGTCCCAAGCATAATATTGTTTAGATTGCATAGCTCTCCTTGTCAACTCATGTGACACCTGGTTTACATCCTTGCTGCAATGTTCAATTGATATATATCCCGAATCCTCTCCATAATGTGTTGCATTTATCATAGAATTCAGCTGCTGAGTGCTGACTACTCGGGCACCCGTTGAGAAAATTAGAGCTTTGCCCTTATACAGGCCATGTGGGTCGTGAAGTTTTGTCCCAAAATTAAGATTTAAAGACTGTTATAATATACTACGATATCAAATTACAGTATTATTTCGAGTATATATCTTGGGCTTCTCTCACTTGGAAATTGTTTCTACAAGAGGAACATTCCGCCGTCTCTCCCGCCACCACCGCCGTGTCACGGCCGCCTCCGACCGAACCCTCTTCTAGAGCCGTTGGAGATGAGTTTCCCTAACCCTAAAGCCGTCGTCGTCTTCTTCCTCTCCGGCGAGGTGCGGGAGCGTGGGCGTGGTCGTGTGGGAGAGGGAGAGAGAGGGTCGCGCACCGTCCGCGCTCCGCGCGACGGTTGCATATTACCTTTTCCCTAAGTTAAATCCAACACAGGTAATGGGCTATCAGATCTAATTAATCACTCATCTTTGTTTATCAATCTAATCGATGCAAAAGTTTATTTTGATTTGCAACCACATATGTAGAGAGCAGTAGCATAAAAAACATACAGCTAGCTAAATGCTTGCGTTTAATTTAATTATTACTACTCACAAAACACACAAATGACCATATATTGGTACTTACATATATATGCCTGTCAGAAGTAGCTGACCCTAACTAGTGCCTGTCGATCCTGGACATGGCGATCAAGGAGGACGCCCCCGGGGAGTAGTAGTACGTCGTCGTAGTAGTTGCAGTGTCGCCCGAGACCGACGGTGACGACCAAGACGACGGCGTCGGCGGCAGCCGGCGGCGGAAGACCAGGCCGGAGACCCGCACTGTAATAGAACTATCTAATTTATAAGAGCACAAGCACAATAGCAATCACCGAAGCGATCAAACCGTCATACTTGAGCCCATATAAACCCGGTAGTCCGATGAAATCACGAAGGATCTCAAACAAACCAACATACAAACCAAGATCGTACATGATTCAACACAACCAGTCACATGTTACATCACAGTTCACAAATAGTTCACAAGTATCTCACATACATTGGAGTTTACATAGTTATTACAAACCAAGTTCAAATAGTGGAAGCAAAGTAGTTTGACATCAACATCACTCTTAGTTTAAATACATGCCAGTACCACGATCATTTTCAGCAAAAGCAAAACAGAGGTGACAACTCAGGAGTACCATGCCCCATGGTTTAGTCCTCATCCACGGCAGGATGAAGGCAGCTCATACAATACCCATGTTACATCATGTCATCTGCAACAAGAGGGAATAAACCCTAAGTATGAGAATGTACTTAGCTAGACTTACCCGTCATAAACCAGAAATAATATGACACCAAGGAGTATGCAAGGCTTTATCGGTGGAGTTAGCTTGACAATATTTTGCATAAAAGCTTAAGTAACATAACTTGAAGATTTAATATCTCTAGCATCAATTTGGATACCTATTCAATTAAGCATCTCTAGATTAGCACCTGTACTAAAGCAATCACTTGATTGAACTAACAAGCATTAGTAACCATATCCGATTATAAGAATAGTTTGAGCATCAACATAATCATTAAGTTTTTATTAAGTTACTCTACGTTGCCGCTGCTCAGTTAAATTTTCACTATCCAGGGAGAGCAATTCAAATCGATTCCTACCTAGCTGGGGAATTATTCCTAACACAAATCCATACTTCCTCGGTCGGGGTCGCATCGGGTCACCTTTGGTACAACTCAGGAACCAACTTCGCGGGTCCGATCAGCGCCGCACCCTCAGAGATTCTACCAATCTACCAGGAAGATCGGGACTCGAACCTACCCTTGGACTCACGCCATTGGCTCTTCGCATATCCTTACTGCCTCCAGTGTGCGCACTTTCACTTACTGGGGCCCGGCCTGAATTGAGCTACTCGGCTTCGTGGTCGGAACGACTTATCCGATCAACTAAGTGCTAGGCATGCGTTCAACATGACATAAGGACGTACAATGAATCGGTTCTTAACCGACACATACGGGGATAAATAGACACCAAGACCTCCATGTCTTGTGCTTATCTATCACAATCCCGTCCGGTCTCCTTTTTATTCATCAACACATGGTTATTTCCATGATAGTAATTATAGCCAACCGTGATCAGTTATCTACCTATATGTTTTAGGTGACAGGAAATCACCTGACTTCTACCGGACTAAGCAAGGCTAAGCATATATTCGATCCTGAACCTACAAAGAATTCAAGATATATTTATCTGGACAAGGTAGTTCTATGCATCAAGTAGTTCCAATCAACTCCTATAACATAATCCA